AGCAAATAATAATGATATGGTAGGAGATACACACCAAACAGGATGTGTAAATTATTATATAATAAGTATTGTGCAATAGCAAGAAATTTTCAATTGCACAGTATTGCACAATAGCAAGAAATCTTTCATTGCACAGCATTGCGCAATAGCAAGAAATCTTCAATTGCACAGTATTGCGCAATAGCAAGAAATATCCAATAGCACAATATTGCGCAATAGCAAGAAATTGTCAATTGTACAGTATTGCGCAATAGCAAGAAATATTGAATTGCACAGTATTAATTGCTTATTTCTTGACCAATTTCAATGGGGTTTTATTCTTGAATTCTTGGGGTTCTTTAATATACTGAATCTAACCTTGTATTAAGTTTTTGGATTTTGGGCCCCGATTTTAAATTGGTCCACATTGAGGTCCAAAGGGTCCAAAATTAAACTTTGTTTGATTTTAAAAAATTGAATTATTGGGGTTCTTTGATATGCCGAATCTAACCGTGTATTTAGATTCTTAATTTTTGGTTCCGTTTTCAAATTGGTCGACATTAAGGTCCAAAGGGTTCAAAATTAAACTTAGTTTGATTTTAATAAAAATTGAATTCTTAGGGTTCTTTAATATGCTGAATCTAAACATGTATTTAGATTTTTGATTATGGGCCCAGTTTTCAAGTTGGTCCAAATCGGGGTCCAAAATTAAACTTTGTTTGATTTCAACAAAAATTGAATATATGGGGTTCTTTGATATGCTGAATCTAACCATGTATTTAGATTTTTGATTTTTGGGCCCGTTATCAACTTTGTCCACATTGAGGTCAAAAGGGTCCTAAATTAAACTTTGTTTGATTTCATCAAAAATTGAATTCTTGGGGTTCTTTGATATGCCGAATCTAACCGTGTAGTTAGATTCTTAATTTTTGGTTCCGTTTTCAAAATGGTCTACATTAAGGTCCAAAGGGTTCAAAATTAAACTTAGTTTGATTTTAACAAAAATTGAATTCTTGGGGTTCTTTGATATGCTGAATCTAAACATGTGTTTAGATTTTTGATTATGGGCCCAGTTTTCAAGTTTGTCCAAGTTGGGGTCCAAAATTAAACTTTGTTTGATTTTAACAAAAATTGAATATATGGGGTTCTTTGATATGCTGAATCTAACCATGTATTTTGATTTTGGACATTGGACTATAATAGATAAATTAAAAAAATTCAAGTTCTTAGACCACATTCTTTCTGTGTCAGAAACCTATGCTGTGTCAAATATTTAATAACAATCCAAATTCAGAGCTGTATCAAGCTTGAATGTTGTGTCCATACTTGCACCAACTGTTCAGGGTTCGACCTCTGCGGTCGTATCAAGCTGCGCCCCAGCGAAGCATTTTATTATATCTGCCAGACAATTGCTTCCTGTTTTCTGTTCAAAACATCTCTGGTTACTTTTCGCTTTAATAGTAAGCTTGAAAAATGTAAAAATCAATTTAAATCAATATAGAAAAAAGGAGATGTGGTTTGCATCATTTGTAAATAGTAATGATGACATCTTATGGGTTTGTTTTGGTAGTAGTTTGGGAGTTTAAAATGGAGCAATGACCTGTGATTTGTAGTATCTTTGAAATTTGTTGTCATCTGAGAGAAGACCTGATGTAGCACACCAGGATCAAGTTTTTATTTTAGGTCTTGCCATATCAGCATGAAGTTCACATTTCTGCTGATATTGTTTAGAGACGGCAGGTGACACATGTCTTCCTTGCAAGACCATTTTTATACGACCGACTGAAAAAAATTGTTTGGGATCTAATAATGGTATGATGTCTGCGTCATTGTCGTCTGCGTCGTCGTCCGAAGACACATTGGTTTCCGGACAATAACTTTAGTTTAAGTGAATGGATCTCTATGAAATTTTGTAAGAAGGTTCAATACCACAAAAGGAAGGATGGGATTGATTTTAGGGATGATGGTCTCAACTGTTTAGGAATTAGGGGCCCAAAAGGGGCCCAAAACAAACATTTTTCTAGTTTCAGGATGATAACTTGTGTATAAGTATTTCGATATCTCTGAAATTGTACCACAATGTTTAATACCACTAATAGAAGGTTGGGATTTATTTTAGGGGTTATGGGACCAACAGTTTAGGAATTAAGGGTCAAAAAGGGGCCAAAAACAAGGATTTTTCTAGTTTCCAGACAATAACTTGTGTGTAAGTGTATGGATCTCTCTGACATTGTACCACAAGGTTCCATATAACAAAGGGAAGGCTGTGATTGAGTTTGGGGTTAATTGCCCCAAACATGTAGGAATGAGGGACCAAAAAAGGGCCAAAAACAAGCATTTTTCCAGTTTCCAGACAATAACTTGTGTTTAAGTGTATGGATCTCTCTGAAATTGTACTACAATGTTCCATACTACAAAGGAAAGGCTTGGATTGAGTTTTGGGGTTATTGCTCCAAGGGGGGGGGGGGGGTGTTTCAAAAAGTTTGGGGGGGGGATTTTTTTTAAGGGATTCATTTTTTTTTTTCAAAATTTTTCAAAATTTGAATTTTTGAAAAGTTTCAAGAAGAAATCTTCAATTGCACAGTATTGCGCAATAGATTTGTAAGATCTTTGACCACATTTAATTTGTGTCAGAAACCTATATTATGACAAAATTTTGATCACAATCCGAATTCAGACAGTATCAAGCTTGAATATTGTGTCCAAATTTGCCCAAACTGTTCAGGGTTCGACCTCTGTGGTTGTATCAGGCTGCGCTCAGCGAAGCATTTTATTTATGTATAGAAAAAGGAATTTTTCTTCTTCACATGGGGGAATACACATATTCCTCTGTTCTTCCATCTGTCACAATTTTAATTTCCTGGTGATAATCTGCCTAAGAATCAGACAGTGGTGAAAACACGACAAACAAAAACCCACTCAAGTTGACATTAATTTATGTTCAAAATGTATAATTGTGCACGAATATAACATTCATTTCCTTTTCCTGTTCTTGTAGTTCAAGATATAATTTGGTTGAAATGCACTGAATTTAACAATTAAGGGGAGCTAACTCCGTAATTTGCTATCGTTCTAACCAACTAAATATTTCTCGAATTACCAGACGCGCAAAAACGAAAGACCTCCCATTTCTAACTCAGGATGAGGGTACTTTCAAATAAGGGTGTTTTTGGCCACGTTTTGATTTTTTTCTAAATTGCCTGATTCTTACAAAGACTGGCACTTAAGTACTGCTTAGATAAATCTTTTGAAAAAAAAGTCGTATTTTGGTATGACGTTGGCATCGTCGTTAGCGGCCGCGGCTGCGTCGTCGTCCGAAGACACATTGGTTTTCGCACAATAACTTAAGTTTAAGTGAATGGATCTCTATGAAATTTTACCATATGGTTCGATACCACGAAAGGAAGGTTGGGATTGATTTTGGAGGTTATGGTATCAACCATTAAGCAAAAAGGGGCCAAAAATAAGCATTTTTCTAGTTTCCAGACAATAACTTGTGGAACGGTGTATGGATCTCTCTGAAATTATACCATAAGTTTCCATACCACAAAGGGATGGTTAGGATTTGCTTTGGGGGGTTATGGCTCAAACCGTTTAGGAATTAGGGGCAAAAAAGGGGGAAAACAAGGGTGTCCTGGTTAATGGACAAATACTTTAGTACAAAACATAATTTAAAGCAGTGTTAAGGAGGTAATTCAAATGCATCATTTGAATTACCTCCCTTACACTGCTTTTGAATTATGTATAAAGTAATGGTTAATGAACAATTAAGACAATTTAAAAGCAGTGTAAGGGAGGTAATCCAAATACAATGTTTTGATTACCTCCCTTACACTGCTTTTAAATTATGTTTAAAGAAATGCATATTTATAAAGGAAGACCAGTAAAAATATCTGCAAATGTTGCATCATCGTGTTAATACGCAACAGCATAGTGTATTGCACAAAAGCAAAAAAAAAAGGGGGGTAAATTTTTTTTTTTTGTGGGGGGAGGGGGGTCAATTTGCAACAGCAAAGTGTATTAACCAATTCTAAGTTCTTTGACTACAGTTATTCTGTGTCAGAAACCTTTTATGTGTCAAATATTGAATTACAATCCAAATTCAGACCTGTATCAAGTGCGAATATTGCGTCCATTTTTGCCCCAACTGTTCAGGGTTGGACCTCTGCGGTCGTATCCAGCTGCACGCAGTGAAGCAATTTATTTTTAATTTATCAAGAGTTATGCCCCATTAGTTACCTTAACAATTGAAATTGTTTCTGGTTTCCAGATGATAATTCATATAGCATTCAACAAAATCCTTTTTAGATTTTAATGCAATGTTATGAACTACAAAATACAGTTCAAGTCAAATGGCACTTACCATTCAATAATTAGCACCTTTATTATCTGAAGAATAGGGTTTCCTGTCTACAGATGATATTGAACTTCTAAGAATTCATTTACTGTGGATGGAGGTATCTTTTGATCAATAGATCAACTAAATCTTGTGTTTGTCTCTGTATAATCATCATTACTGTAACTGCTCTTGATAAGTCTTGTACAAAAACTATTGTGTTGAAAGAATGAAATATTTTTGTTTGCAAAAAGTTGGGCATGATAACTTTAATTGATATGGAAAGGAATTCACCATATCTAAAGAATGTAGTGATAGTGAGAGTAATATTAATCTCTGCAATGAAACTCTCCCATAAATAGCCTCCTGCTGCACTGTTGGAAAAAACAAATTGTATTTTGTCAAAACGGATGTTTTTGTAACATGATTATGTAGTAATCTAATGGTTGAATTTCAAAGGTTCAAAACATTCATCTCCTGAGTTAGACATGTTTATTTTAATTTTTTGATGACATTATCTTGTGATTTTCAGGACAAATAATGTTGGATGATAACTGTTATATAACCTTTCATTTAATATATTGGACTTTGTACTACAGGTTAGTAGCACATTATTGTTACATTCATTCCTGAGTAGTCACTATATTGTCAATTACCTCATTCTGTAATAAATTATACTTTTTAGAATGAATTAGAGGGATCTATATTATATAAACAGTTGTTAGAAAAGGCCAGACAGTTCTTCTCGGAACAGATAGAGTTGACAAATAGGTAACTAATTTTTCTTTTGGATTTTTTGGATAATTTTTCTTTTGAAAAAAAATGAATGTATGCCCAACAATATTCTGCTAGCCTATGTTTTTATTTAGGAAAAGTGTATAGATATACTAAATAAAATAAAGAATGATAAGATGCAAGTAGTATTTTTGCAAACTCTTATGATAACAAAAGTGCCATCTATAATTACCGAGGTATTTTTCTCAAAGACTAATGATTGGATTTTTTTCTATATTAAAAATATATGTTTTTAAAGTGCTATGAACATCATATACACCCATGAAATATATTAAAAGATAAATCTACATTTCATAATTCTGTATTACCTCATACCATATAGAATTTTAGTGAAACCAGGTTACAAACTGCTCATTCAGGACCACTATGCCAAAGACCTTTTTATTTAGTATTTACAATTATCAAGCCTATGAAATAGTGATGAAGTTCTGAAGGGTTCCTTATTTCTTGAAACTTGACTTGACTGTGGCTTTTCTTACATTTTTAATCAATTATGGCAAATTATAAAGAACTATCGTACTCTGTATACATGTAGTATAAAACAATGATTGTACAGTACACAATGTTCTTCATAGCTATATACATGTAGTATAAAACAATGATTGTACAGTACACAATGTTCTTCATAGCTTAATAAGACTACTCCTTACAAACTGCAATTTTTTCTCACCAATAACTATAGAGAAGTATTATACAGAGTCAAAGTGCACTATCAATGCTGTTTAGATTAATTATATTGTACCATTTTTGGCAGGGTTGAAAAAAGTCCAAAAATGGCTCATAGTATAGTGATATTGGGCTGGGGGGAAAAGTAGGAACCTAACTTGTGTAATCAGCTTCTACTACAGTGTTCAACCCAGTTCCCTGAAACTTCACAGGAAGATTGCACATATGTTGAATTTATGCACCTGCTATTACGAGATTATTAGAGAACTTTTTTCTCATTTTTCCAGACTTTCTTACATAGTAATTTTTCTGTAAAATTTATGAACGAGGATACAAGTTATCAACTTCTACAGTTTTACTATTTGAGACTTTGACCCATTTTAAAGTGTTTTCCTGTAGTCTTTTGGTTATCAGGAAATTCACTTATACATATTTGTTATATCAACCCATCAGTAATGATTATTTTTTATGACAATAGAAGTGACAGTACCAGCTGCCAAGGAGAAGAAGTATTAGACATCTTAGATAGGATAACAGTAGACATAGAACAACTGAGAGACGCTGAGACAGATCTCCAACCTCCTGATGGTTTGTACTTTTTAGTTTTATTTTGTCTATTTATCCAACAATTAATAACATCACACATTTCTCAGATATTACTGAACAGAATGACTTCAGACACATACTTCCTGTTTGCCAATACCTTGAATTTTTTACAGGAGTAATGTCCTTTCGAAATACAATAAATATTGCACATTGCATTGTAAGCACTCTAACACCTACATTTCTCGTCTAATTCCTATGAAAGTATCAAAGGCTTACCAGCAAGGTCTTGGAAGAGTGACGACCAACTTTTTTTTAATAGAGTTATGCCCCTTGAAAATTATCTGGAAACAACATTGTCAGAAATCTCATGCATACATTTCTTGTAAGATATTTACTAAAAAGCTTAAAAGAACCCAAAACAAAGTTTTTATTTGAGTTCTTGCTCTTGGACAGATAAAATATATATATATGTATATATATACCAGTTTTGTGGAATTTAGCATTAATGACAGATCTTTGATAATCTCTTGTTACTTCCTCACAAATGATTTGACTGATTGTATATATAGAGAGAGACCTATTTAATGTGAATATACATTATGTTGACCTTTACTGTCATTGGGTTGCTGTCTCATTCATATATAACCCACATCTCCTTTTAATCATCTCTATATGGTAATGATCAAAATTAGGAGAAAGTAATTGTTGGTTTGTATATTTAGGTGGGAAGTATCCAGTCTGTATCCTAAGTATTGAAGACATATTTGAAAGAACTATAGGTCTTCTGTCTATACTGTGTAATCATTAGATAGATCAAATTACTTGGATTAATTGTTGTGGTCAAGAGACTAAGATCTTCCCATAAATAATTATATACTTTGGTTCAATTTAACATTTATTTATGTATAAGTACACATTATATTGGTACTTATTTTGGACATAATTAATGTGACAATTCAAGTTACAATTGGTAGAGTAATGTTTAAAGGTTTACTCTAAGGCATATAGGTTAAATAAAGTCATTCAAAAACAAATCTGAAAAATGACAGTTTGGCAAACACAAATCACAAAAAGATATTGTTATTAAAAATAGAACTTACATATTAATTGAAACAGGCAACATAGAAATCATTTATTAGTATGACCCACATATGCTTCTGTTCCAAAGATAGAACTATGAAAGTGAAGAGTCAATTTACAAAGAAGATGTAATGAAGTGAACAGAAACTTTTACAGTCTGTTTTATAATTCAGGTATAAAATCGATACATATCCTAAGGCTGTAACAGATTATTACGTTTTAAGGACAAACTTCATTTTATTGAATTACATGTTCAAAGGAAAATGTTTGTTATTATTAAAAAGCAGGTTAAGTTTCCAGCAGGTTTTTGTAATGGAATTTTGTTTGCAGTTTTCCAATGAAAGGTAAATGATTGAATACAAGGTAACTTCAGTTGATTCATATTTAATGGTAAGTTGAGGATAGTTTCTCTTTATAGGTTGCATCTGTTGGCTTTCTATATATGTACAATTCACGGTACATTAATTTCATTGATTCTTACAAAAAATATTTATAGTCATAATATTCTGATGTAAGTGGATGATTTTGTATAGTTCTTTAAAGAGGTTTGTAAATAATGCTTATATATAATTAAGTAGTTGTAGATAAAACAGTATAAAAACTATAGAAATTTTAAAACAAGTAATGAATTAATCATTACAAATTCATGATTTGAAAGTTTTTTGTTATAACATTAAAATGATATTGTACTTGGTGACATGCCATTGATATTATTCAACAGCAGAAGGTGTGCCATCAATGTATGATCTTTTGTTTGATGTAAAGATCCATATATTTTTTTTCTTTTTTGATTAAACTTTGCATGTGAGTTAATAAATTTAATGTCAATATTTACTCTGTGAACAACATAAAAAAGATATGTACTTTATGTTAACTTGCGATAAGAAATTTGCATATAAAAGATTATAGGCACAACTGTTTTCTTTTTAATGTTCTGATTTATCATAACATGCAGGTTTTGTTATACATACTGCAAGAATTTATAGTTAAAATTTAAACTACCAAATCAATTCTGAAAGGGAGAGGGGCATTATAGTACTCTATGCATCCATTTCTGAATGTCAGTTTCTTTCCAAGCAAAGAAGTGACCAACAATCATATAGTGTATACCAGGTTGTTTTCCCGGGATGTTAATTTTTGCTTATTTTAAACAGATCAACCAAAATTGTCAAAATAAATTCTGCCAATTTTTATGCACATGTTAGTACTTTTCAATAGATGAAGGATTTTGGGAAAGTTTCATTATGGTAAGGTTGTCAGATCTATATAATATGGTACATTTTCAATTTTTATACACCCGTTTACGGGAGGTATTATGGTATATCGTCTGTCCGTCCGTCTTCAACATGTCAGACATTAACTCAAAAACGCTTCAACCAATTTGCATAAAACTTTGGTGAATTGTTTATATCTATTGACGTGAGCTCCCTTTCGTTTTTTATAAATTTTAGATTTTACGTTTCCGAGTTATGGGGTTTTATTCATTAAAAAAAGGGGATTTTCCAGTTTTCGGACAATAACTCAAGAATGCTTTCACCAACTTGCAAGAAATTGTGGTGAATTGTTTATATCTATTGACATGAGCTCCCTTTTGATTTTTATATATTTTGGATTTTACGTTTTCCGAGTTACAGGGTTTTATTCATAAAAAAGGGGGATTTTCCAGTTTTTGGACAAAAAGTCAAAAATGCTTTCAGCAGTTCTTATGAACCTTTGGTGAATTGTTTTTATCTATTGATGTAAGCTCAGTTTAGAATTTTATAAATTTTTCATTTATCATTTCTGAGTTATGGGGTTTTATTCATTAAAAAATGGGGTATTTTCCAGTTTTCGGACAATAACTTTAGCAGTTCTTATGAAACTTTAGTGAATTGTTTATATCTATTAATGTAAGCTCCCTTTACATTTTCATAAATTTCTAATACGATATTGAGAATTAATTGAACTTTTATTTGTTTATAGTCTGACAACAGATTTACTAAGTATTGTGCAACAGCACAGTGTATTGCACAACAGCAAGAAATCTTTAATTGAATATAAATTCTATTCATATAACCAATTTCTAGTTCTTTGACTACATTTATTCAGAAACCTATAATATGTCAAATATTTAATTACAATCCAAATTCAGACCTGTATCAAGCTTGAATATTGTGTCCATTTTTGCCCCAACTGTTCAGGGTTGGACCTCTGCGGGCGTATCCAGCTGCCCTCAGCGAAGCAGTTTATTTTTTAAAATGATGTCATGAGGTATAATTGAGTTTCTCACTTATTAGACTTTATGAGTTTTAATCATTGGTTGAACTAACTTTTAAGAAAGGTCAAAGTTAAATAAAGGTGTTTGTCATAAGTTCATAAAAGTCATAACTTTATAGGTACATCAAAGGTCCCAACATATTTTTAATTATTTAACAGTTGAAAACGAAACGTCATTAAATGTGCAAGTGGTCTATTGTTCATGTGTTTTTATATGCCTGTTTACGGAACATATTATGGTATACCGTTGTCCGTCCATCCATTATCAACATGTCGGACAATAACTCAAAAACGCTTAATCCATTTGCATGAAACTTTGGTGAATTGTTTATATCTATTGATTTGAGCTCCCTTTATATTTTTATAAACTTTAGATTTTCAGTTTTTGAGTTATGGGGTTTTTTTTTCATTAAAAAAGGGGGATTTTCCAGTTTTCGGACAATAACTCATAAACGCTTTGAGCAGTTTTCATGAAACTTTGGTGTATTGTTTATATCTATTGATATAAGCTCCCTTAAGATTTATATAAATTTTAGATTTTACGTTTCCGAGTTATGGGATTTTATTCATTAAAAAAGGGGTGATTTTCCAGTTTTCAGACAATGACTCAAAAGTGCTTTGAGCAGTTTTCATGAAACTTTGGTGACTGGTTTATATCTATTAAAACAACCTCCCTTTAGTTTATTTTATAAATTTCTGATATGACAGTGAGGAGTTATTGAACTTTATTCTTTGAAAAAGCGACGGGCGTATCATGCACTCATGGTGCAGCTGTTTATTTAAACAAATAGTGACCAATATCTAGATAATACTATTGATAAACCATATACACATTGTAACAAGATGATTAATTTATCAAATGTTATATTGGGATGCTTAAATCACCAATAATATGATTAGATATATTGTCATTGAAATGTATAGTGACTCACATATTGCACATTCATCCAATTTTGGCTTTTTTTGTTGTGCATAAAACTGCTGTTTTTGTCTTTTGAATTTCTTATCTAGACAGAATTAGATCTTAGATATATAGGTATGTTACAGTGTTATTTGACAATCCATTTTACATATAGGCATCCCCCAAAATGAGTATGTGGAAAATCAAATCTGCAACCAAAAGTTAGCCTAAATGTTTGGATACCTTTTTGATCCAAAACGGTGGAATTTTATACCAATAAATAAAACCCACTATACAATATATTAATATAAGAATATATTTTGATATAAAGATTTATTTCTGGATATAAGATTATTAATCTGATGTCCATGTTAAGGTATGAGATCATGAATGCTGACTATCAGAGGAATAGATCTGATGGCATTGTTATAGTCTTAAATAGAATAAAATCATATGGCTTTGTTTATTGTAAAAGGGAACTATATCAGAATCCTGCATGAATACATTTCACTATTTGAATTTGTGGTAGGTTCTGTTGTCAGTTATTAAGAGACTTATAGATTATCTATTGTACTTCAAATGAGGATAAAATGATGACAGCCCTGAGATGAGGTATAGCAGAGAAACATCCTTGAGTTTAAAGATAAAAGGGTGACAGCCCTGAGTTGAGGTATAGCAGAGAAACATCCTTGAATGTAAGGATAAAAGGGTGACAGACCTGAGATGAGGTATAGCAGAGAAACTTCGTTGAGTTTAAAGATAAAAGGGTAACAGCCCTGAGATGAGATATAGCAGAGAAACATCCTTGAGTTTAAAAGACCATTGATAATTTGTTAATCTGTTTATTTTTTAGATGATAACTGGTTACAGATAAGTCCAGAAGAGCTTGATAGGTTAATGTTCAAATCATCTGGTCTAGATCCAACAAACATGGCTAAAACAGGAGATATTTCAGATTTAAATAAAATGGGTGATGGTATGAAGTCTTTTGTCAACAAAGTATCTGGTGTAGAGGGAGCTGAATTCCCAGGGTAAGTGATGGTATGAAGTCTTTTGTCAACAAAGTATCTGGTGTAGAGGGAGCTGAATTCCCAGGGTAAGTGATGGTATGAAGTCTTTTGTCAACAAAGTATCTGGTGTAGAGGGAGCTGAATTTCCAGGGTAAGTGATGGTATGAAGTCTTTTGTCAACAAAGTATTTGGTGTAGAGGGAGCTGTATTCCCAGGATAAGTGATGGTATGAAGTCTTGTCAACAAAGTATCTGGTGTAGAAGGAGCCCAGGGTAAGTGATGGTCTGATGTCTTTTGTCAACAAAGTATCTGGTGTAGAGGAAGCTGAATTCCCAGGGTAAGTGATGGTATGAAGTCTTTTGTCAGCAAAGTATCTGGTGTAGATGGAGCTGAATTCCCAGGGTAAGTGATGGTATGAAGTCTTTGTCAACAAAGTATCTGGTGTAGAGGGAGCTGAATTCCCAGGGTAGGTGATGGTATGAAGTCTTTTGTCAACAAAGTATCTGGTGTAGAGGGAGTGGAATTCTCAGGGTAAGTAATGGTATGAAGTCTTTTGACAACAAAATATCTGTTGTAGAGAGAGCTGAATTCCCAGGGTAAATATATAACTTATTGTCATAGGTATTTATAGGTTAGACTGATCATTTGTTCCATTAAACAATTTGGTGTGCATGTTAAACCATTTCTCAAACAACTTTGACAAATAATTCATAATGTTAGTTCATTGATACAAGATGTTACATATACTTATTAAATAATCTATCAGTTTCTTATTTATGAAGGTTTTCATTTTTAGCTCACCTGGCCCGAAGGGCCAAGTGAGCTTTTCTCATCACTTTGCGTCCGTCGTCCGTCGTCGTCGTCTGTTAACTTTTACAAAAATCTTCTCCTCTGAAACTACTGGGTCAAATTTAACCAAACTTGGTCACAATCATCATTGGGGTATCTAGTTTAAAAAATGTGTCCAGTGATCCGGTCAACCAACCAAGATGGCCGCCATGGCTAAAAATAGAACTTAGGGGTAAAATGTAGATTTTGGCTTATATCTCTGAAACCAAAGCATTTAGAGCAAATCTGACATGGGATAAAATTGTTTATCAGGTCAAGATCTATCTGCCCTGAAATTTTCAGATGAATCTGACAACCCGTTGTTGGGTTGCTGCCCCTGAATTGGTAATTTTAAGGAAATTTTGCCGTTTTTGGTTATTATCTTGAATATTATTATAGATAGAGATAAACTGTAAACAGCAATAATGTTCAGCAGAGTAAGATCTACAATTAAGTCAACTTGACCAAAATGGTCAGTTGACCCCTTAAGGAGTTATTGCCCTTTATAATCAATTTTTAACCATTTTTCATAAATTTTTGTAATCTTTTACAAAAATCTTCTCCTCTGAAACTACTAAGACAAATTTAACCAAACTTGTCCACAATCATCATTAGGGTATATAGTTTTAAAAATGTGTCCGATGACCCCGCCCGCGAACCAAGATGGCCGACATGGCTAAAAAATAGTACATAGGGTAAAATGCAGTTTTTGGCTCATATCTCTGAAACCAAAGCCTTTAGAGCAAATCTGACATGAGAAAATTGTTTATCAGGTCAAGATCTATCTGCCCTGAAATTTTCAGACCAATCAGGCAAATCGTTGTTTGGTTGCTGCCCCTGAATTGGTAATTTTAATGAAATTTTGTTGTTTTTGGTTATTATCTTGAATATTATTATAGATAGAGATAAACTGTAAACAGCAATAATGTTCAGCAAAGAAAGATCTACAATTAAGTCAACTTGACCAAAATGGTCAGTTGACCCCTTAAGGAGTTATTGCCCTTTATAGTCAATTTTTAACCATTTTTCGTAAATTTTTGTAATCTTTTACAAAAATCTTCTCCTCTGAAACTACTGAGACAAATTTAACCAAACTTTTACACAATCATCATTAGGGTATATAGTTTAAAAAATGTGTCAGATGACCCCGCCCGCGAACCAAGATGGCCGACATGGCTGAAAATAGATCATAGGGGTAAAATGTAGATTTTGGCTTATATCTCTGAAACCAAAGCATTTAGAGTAAATCTGACATAGGGTAAAACTGATTATGAGGTCAAGATCTATCTGCCCTGAAATTTTCAGATGAATCTGACAACCCGTTGTTGGGTTGCTGCCCCTGAATTGGTAATTTTAAGGAAATTTTGCCGTTTTTGGTTATTATCTTGAATATTATTATAGATAGAGATAAACTGTAAACAGCAATAATGTTCAGCAGAGTAAGATCTACAATTAAGTCAACTTGACCAAAATGGTCAGTTGACCCCTTAAGGAGTTATTGCCCTTTATAGTCAATTTTTTACATTTTTTTCATAAATTTTGTAAATTTTTGTAAATTTTTGTAAATTTTTACAAAATATTTTCCACTGTAACTACTGGGCCAAGTTCATTATAGATAGAGATAATTGTAAGCAGCAAGAATGTTCAGTAAAGTAAGATCTACAATCACATCACCATCACCAAAACACAATTTTGTCATGAATCTATCTTTGTCCTTTGTTTAATATGCACATATACCAAGGTGAGCGACACAGGCTCTTTAGAGCCTCTAGTTTACTTTTAATTGTTAACCGATTTATACTTTTAGGACTGATTGATAATTTTTTTGTTTTCAATCAATGTGTGGTTCTCCTTTTCTCAATTCATCATTGTTTAAATTGGTCAAAATTCACACATGATGTCAAAGTGTCTTATTGTCTTCTGATTTAGCAATAGTGATGTCCTAAAAAATCAACCATGCTGACTGACACATCTCACAGAAGAAAAACAATTTTGCACCTCTTTAAAAAAGAATGTTTATGTCTTCTTATATATAGGAGAAACTGATTCAAACACTGTCTCTTTTTTTAATATGTGATTCAGTATTTCTCCATTCTTGAAAGTTGAAAATGCTAGGCAATTGTTTTTGGGTATCAGATGCCAATTTGTTTTTTTATACGACCGCAAAAAAATTCGTATATTGGTATGACGTTGGCGTCATCGTCGTCGTAAGACACATTGGTTTTCGCACTCTAACTTAAGTTTAAGTGAATGGAATTCTATGAAATTTTACCATAAGGTTTAATACCACAAAAGGAAGGTTGGGATTGATTTTGGGGGTTATGGTACCAACAGTTAAGGAATTAGGGGCCAAAAAGGGGCCAAAAATAAGCATTTTTGTAACTTCCAGACATAACTTGTGTGTTAGTGTATGGATCTCTCTGACATTGTACCACAAGGTTCCATATCTCAAAGGGAATTCTGGGATTGATTTTGGGGGTAATTGCCTCCAAATTTTAGGAATTAGGGGCCAAAAAAGGGGCAAGGGCAAAAAACAAGCATGTTTCTAGTTTCATGACAATAACTTGTGTGTAAGTGTATGGATCTTTATTAAATTGTACTACAATGTTCCATATCACAAAGGGAAAGCTGGAATTGAGTTTGGGGGTAATTGCCCAAAACTTTTAGGAATAAGGGGCCAAAAACTAAGCATTTTTCTAGTTTCCAGACAATAACTTGTGTTCATGTGTATGGATCTCTCTGAAATTGTACTGCAAGGTACCATACCACAAAGGGAAGGCTGGGATTGAGTTTGGGGGTGATTGCCTCAAAATTTTAGGAATTAGGGGCAAAAAAGGGGCAAAAAACAAGCATTTTTCTAGTTTCATGACAATAACTTGTGTGTAAGTGTATGGATCTTTATGAAATTGTACTACAAAGTTCCATATCACAAAGGGAAAGCTGGGTTTGAGTTTGGGGGTAATTGCCCTAAACGTTTAGGAATTTGGGGACAAAAAAGGGGGCAAAAAACAAGCATTTTTCTAGTTTCCAGACAATAACTTGTGTTCAAGTGTATGGATCTCTCTGAAATTGTACTGCAAGGTACCATACCACAAAGGAAAGGCTGGGATTGAGTTTGGGGGTGATGAATCATAAGGGGGTTCAAAAAATTTTGGGGGGGGATTTTTTTTTCCTTTTTTTTCTTTAAAATTTTCCATTTTAAATTGGTTATTTCTGATTTATATATAAAAGCAAATAATAATAATATCATTTGAATAGTTAAATTAAAATTTTTTAAGTTCTTAGACCACATTCATTCAGTGTCAGAAACCTATGCTGTGTCAAATATTTAATCACAATCCAAATTCAGTGTTGTATCAAGCTTGAATGTTGTGTACATACTTGCCCCAACTGTTCATGGTTCGACCTCTGTGGTCGTATCAAGCTGCGCCCAGCGAAGCATTTTATTGAATATTGCATTTTAGACTTGTACATTTCAAAACAGTATTTTTTATAGTTGGAAGAAATTTTTTAAAATATTTATTGTCATATATGAGATTTATGATAAATATTCAAATGGCACATCACTGTATATATATTTTGATAAGAAATAAAACTGTTTTTTAATAATATATGTTTTAATTTTTCCAGAGAGGATGATGATATACAGTTTGATGGTACTGGGTTTATTACACAGATGCAGAAAATGTTTGGTATGTTGTAAATACAAATACTGATAGACATAAGTTTATATTGAATGTTGGAAACTTTGAATTCATGACTGAAAAAACTTTTAAATTCAGAAATTATTGGTTATATTTGTTATGTAAAATCAATTCATTTTAGAATCCACCTTGTAGTTGCAATTCCTTTTACATGATTCATTAAATTGGTGAAACTTGAAACATTGTCAGAATCAAATATTAAGATGAAAGCAGGTGTGTCTAAGATCAAAATGACTGCCTGAGAACATGTGTTACTAAAGTCAACGCTTTCATGTCATCTGCAGTTTAGATTTTAGTGTTAAAGAGTTTTAATGAGGGCCAGGCCTGTTCATAAACACTGAAATTGATCATAATTAAACAAAATTGTTCATTATTTAACAAAATTGTTCATGACTTGTGACCAATTTTAGTCATAAGATTTTTTTTTTGTAAAACATAGGCCAGGTTTCTAAGTTCAATAAATTAAAGACACGAAAGAACAGAATGCTCCATGAAAGTAATGTATTGTATTTAATTATGTTACCAGAGTTTAATGACAATGATGATGCATCAAGTTCTGACATGAGTGAGTATGGATGGGAGGAATCTGATGAAGATGTTGATGATCAGCCACCTGTTTCAAAGTCAGGGAAGAAAGGAAAAGGACCAGTTCAGCCTACAGTTAAAGATTATATGAACATGATGGACAGGGAACTATCCACAACAGATGTTGGTAAAAGTTTTGAAAGAGTAGGTGGAGGTGAAAGCACAGCTTCAAAACCAAAGGTAACATATTGTTGGGAAATTCTTAATCAAGGTGTTAACACAAACTGAGAAAGGATATGGACAAGATATTATGTTTTTTAAGGCCCCCACCGGGGGCTATGGGGGCATTGAGTGTTACCCTTGACCGTCTGTCTTTCCGTCCGTCTATCCCATTTTAGTTGCAAAGCATGAGCTAGGGTATTCGTGTCCTCAGACACATTCTTCTTTTATTTTGTAAATATGAGGAAATTGGTACAGTAATGCTGTTAAAGAATATACACATACCCATCAAGTACATATCACATGGATCACAACACTGTATATGCTGTGCTTGTAATTAATATATGTATATGAAATACTATGATTACATTTAAAATTCAATGACAGACAATGTGTACTCACTTAGTTATGTAAAAGTTATAACAGCACAAACAGAGTTACTAGTCTGGGAAACATAATTTGTTTATTAGCTTTGAACTAACTTTCAGTAACTGCAAAAACTCTTAGATTGGGACTCTCTATCTACAGTCTTTTTGTAAATTATGTTGATCTGATAAGTCAAGCCTTTTTCAACCATTTTGTAGACATAAGTTATTTTAAAGACCTAGGAAAAGTTTGCTTGAAAGAGGATTTTTACAATAAGTCAATTGAGGGGGAATCCATGCTTATTTACTTATTTGAACAAATGTTGCAAGGACACTAGTCTGATTTCAAAGTACATATATATTTGTGCATAAAACTTCCCCAAAATTACTTTAATAAAATGTGTGTGACTGCTGTTCTCTCTTGTTTGAATAATATCTAGATTTACTCCATATAATTGAAAGATGTGTACCATTACTTTATTTACACTGTAAGATGTTTCTAGCTGACTTATTTGTTATGCTTGTATAAGATAAGGGGTATATGTCTTATGCTAGATTTCATATTGTAGCATGTCAAAATGTGTTTTATAGGTAAATGGTAATGGTAAAAAAAGTAAGAAAAGTATTGAAGAAGAAGATGATGGCTTCAAACCTGTTGACATTGATATGACTGTTGTAAAAAATATGTTACAATCTCTGGAGTCCCAGCAAGGACTGGCTGGTCCAGCCTCAAACATACTGGGGTCCATGGGAATCAAAGCACCAGCACCAATGGCTGAGGAAGATGATGACACAATAGTTCCTTCTAGAAGTTCGGCTTCAAGAGAAAAGAAGAAATCTGGTCCTAAAATTCCACCTCGGCCAAAACCTACTGATCTTCCGGTAGCACCTCCACGACATCATCGATCACCAAAAAAGTCAGCAGACTCTAAACCCCCTTTGCTTGTAAGACAAGAATCTAATGTTTAATTTTTTTACATTTACTATGGTTGTTATAATTCAGAGATTTTATTATGATTGCATAATATATATTATAATTATACTCTGATTCAATGATTACTTTAAAAATGCCATATCATTTGAAATTTACCTCTACCTATAATCAAAAATACAGCCAAGACTTTTATGTTGTGGAAATATTACCTCTAAAAGCTAACCTTCTTAACTATCATACAATCTTATTTCTGTAATTTGACCACTTATGATAAGTTGATATTTTTGCTTTTTAACCAGGTTTTTTGGCCAAAAATCCAGTTATTAATTTGGAGTAGTACAATAGGTTTGCTGGCTGCTCCAGCTGTTTCCTATGCAATGAGTTATGAACCATTCAACCAAGCTTTTCAAATTTTAAAATATTCTTACTGCTTACAAATTTGAGGTCATTATTGACTATTTTCACTGTTGCCATTTAGGAGTTATGGTCCTTGATTGATTGGGAATTGGCACTTTATGTTGTTTCCATGATATAAGTTAAGAACCATTCAACCAATGCTATTCAAATTTGAATATATTTTTATTGCTGACAAAATGGAGGTCAAATTCAATATAGAGGATTTTCACCTTTGCCATTCAGGAATTATGGTCCTTGAATGATTGGAAAATGGCACTTTATGTTGTTTATGTGCAATATTTTGAAAACTGTTCTATAATTGCATTTAGAATTTTAATATGTTGTTACTTATGAAAAAATGGAGGTAACGTTTTGATTTTAACTTTTGCTGTTCAAAAGGTAAGGTCCTTGATTGATTGGAAGATGACTTAATATAGATTCCATGCTGTAACTTGAGAATTCTTGATCTTATCCATTAGAAAATGTACTATGTTATTTCTCATAACAAAAACAGAGGTCAAGATGGGTTTTGATGTAATATTTGTTTAAATAATAAAAGTTATTTGTTGTTTGACTAGATAGTCTTGTTAAATGTCTGTATTCAATCAAAGTTCTAAGATGGCAGCTCTGACAGAACAGTTTCTGATTCAGTTGCCAATACAAAGAGTTGATATTTCATTATTAAGTTTGATGTATAAATTCTGAAAAAGTAGGTGTCACTGTTCATGAAATGATTTCAATTTGATTCCATTTTATGGCTTACTGTTCATTGAATGGATACTTTAATTGATTTGATTCAGGACCACACAAATCAAATATGGCATTTTTAAAGGATTTTTTATACATATTAACAAAGGTGTTCAGTTATGAAATCCGTTGATGTACTGCAGAATGAAATAGCATAGAATATATATTTTCTCACATGCAAATACAGCAAATATTATGTGACAAAAGGAAACATGTTACAAAACTGTCAGCCATCACAAAAGTATAGTGTTTTAACATTATGAGAAATACAATCAGGATTTTTGAAATTTATAAGTAGTTATAAAAACATCACATTTTAAATGTGTGTTTTTGATATATATATGTTTATGTATTCTTCTCTCTTTCATAGATATATTAATAAGTGCAATAAAGGAAGAGACTTGCATTATATGATCTATTTTTCTTCACTGAAAAGCATCCATAAAGTTCATTTGAGTTTATTCATGTAACTTGCAATTTAAATTAATATCTTGTGCAATTATAAACTTTAAAAAACTGTCTCTGTACAGATCAATCATACATTTTTTTTTAAGAATTTCTTCTAATGTTTGTAAATAAATATTTCCTGAATGTTTTTGTTTTGTTGTCATCACCTGTACTGAAGTACTTTATCTGTAATTATACCCCACACAATTTTTGCGTCGGGTATAATGTTTTTGACCCGTCCGTCTGTCCGTCAGTCCTGTTCTTGTCATCGCAACTCCTCTGAAACCAAAGAACAGAATTTCATGAAACTTTATAGATAATAAGGACATACTATGTAGATGTGCATATCTGAGCGTGCTCACAAAGGTTCTTTAATTATTAAATAGTAATGGGTATAGTGAACCAACACCCTGAGGTAGTTGACGTGTTGTAGGGTAAAGTTGGGGTAGATACCAAAGTGGTATTTGATAGTTGTCTTTCTACATGTAAATACAATTATAGAAATCAAAGACAACACCCATGTTATACCGCATGAATAAAGATTGATTTGTCTACATGTTTCACAAATGAGTGGTGTCATCAGGACCTGAGAGCAGTATTCTTTTCATAAATTTTGAAAAAAGTTGATTTATTGAAGAAAAATGTATGCAACCTGTGGTTATTTACTGACAAAAGTGTTCATATATTTCAGTTTTGTGAAATATTAAACAAATGTATCATGTTAGTTAGAATATTTTAAAAAAAATTGTTAAAAGTTTTGCATTCTTTGTGGCAAAAATGAATATAAATTTACATTTGTTTTATTTCTTCGAATTAACTTTAGTTTACAGTTTTACATAGAACATATGTAACTACAATTAATTGCTTTCAATATATATATATGTAGGGAGATGTAGTATGACTACAAATGAGACAACTATCCACCATATATGAAATGATAAGGATATAAACAACTAGGAAATGTATAGCAGTAGTTGTTACTTACTTAACAGTATGGTTTTTATACGACCGCAAAAATTAAAAAATTTTTGGTCGTATATTGGTATGACGTTGGCGTCGTCGTCGTCGTCGTCCGGCGTCGTCGTCGTCTGGCGTCGTCCGGCATCGTCCGAAGACACATTGGTTTTCGCACTCTAACTTTAGTTTAAGTGAATGGATCTCCATGAAATTTTACCATAAGGTTCAATACCACGAAAGGAAGGTTGGGATTGATTTTGGGGGTTATGGTACCAACAGTTAAGGAATTAGGGGCCAAAAAGGGGCCAAAGATAAGCATTTTTGTAACTTCCAGACAATAACTTGTGTGTAAGTGTATGGATCTCTCTGACATTGTACCACAAGGTTCCATATCACAAAGGAAAGGCTGTAATTGATTTTGGGGGTAATTGCCTCTAAATTTTAGGAATTAGGGGCCAAAAAAGGGGCAAAAAACAAGCATTTTTCTAGTTTCATGACAATAACTTGTGTGTAAGTGTTTGGATATTTCTGAAATTGTACTACAAGGTTCCATATCACAAAGGGAAAGCTGGAATTGAGTTTGGGGGTAATTGCCTGAAACGTTTAGGAATTGGGGGCCAAAAAGGGGCCAAAAATAAGCATTTTTCTAGTTTCCAGACAATAACTTGTGTTCAAGTGTATGGATCTCTCTGAAATTGTACTGCAAGGTACCATACCACAAAGGGAAGGCTGGGATTGAGTTTGGGGGTGATGAATCATAAGGGGGTTCAAAAAATTTGGGGGGGGGATTTTTTTTTTTTTCTTTTTTTTTCTTTTTTTCCTTTTTTTTTTCTTTTAAAATTTTCCATTTTAAGTTGGTTATTTCTGATTAATATTTAAAAGCAAATAATAATGATATGGTAGGAGATACACACCAAACAGGATGTGTAAATTATTATCTAATAAGTATTGTGCAATAGCAAGAAATTTTCAATTGCACAGTATTGCACAATAGCAAGATATCTTCAATTGCACAGTATTGCGCAATAGCAAGAAATCTTCAATTGCACAGTATTGCGCAATAGCAAGAAATATCCAATAGCACAATATTGCGCAATAGCAAGAAATTGTCAATTGTACAGTATTGCGCAATAGCAAGAAATATTCAATTGCACAGTATTGTGCAAAAGAAGATACTTCGTATAAATTGCTTATTTCTTGATCAATTTCAATGGGGTTTTATTCTTGAATTCTTGGGGTTCTTTAATATGCTGAATCTAACCGTGTATTAAGTTTTTGGATTTTGGGCCCCGTTTTTAAATTGGTCCACATTGAGGTCCAAAGGGTCCAAAATTTAACTTTGTTTGATTTCATCAAAAATTGAATTATTGGGGTTCTTTGATATGCTGAATCTAACCGTGTATTTAGATTCTTAATTTTTGGTTCCGTTTTCAAATTGGTCTACATTAAGGTCCAAAGGGTCCAAAATTAAACTTAGTTTGATTTTAACAAAAATTGAATTTTTAGGGTTCTTTGATATGCTGAATCTAAACATGTATTTAGATTTTTGATTATGGGCCCAGTTTTCAAGTTGGTCCAAATCGGGGTCCAAAATTAAACTTTGTTTGATTTCAACAAAAATTGAATATATGGGGTTCTTTGATATGCTGAATCTAACCATGTATTTAGATTTTTGATTTTTGGGCCCCGTTATCAACTTTGTCCACATTGAGGTCAAAAGGGTCCAAAATTTAACTTTGTTTGATTTCATCAAAAATTGAATAATTGGGGTTCTTTGATATGCCGAATCTAACCGTGTATTTAGATTCTTAATTTTTGGTTCCGTTTTCAAATTGGTCTACATTAAGGTCCAAAGGGTCCAAAATTAAACTTAGTTTGATTTTAACAAAAATTGAATTTTTAGGGTTCTTTGATATGCTGAATCTAAACATGTATTTAAGATTTTTGATTATGGGCCCAGTTTTCAAGTTGGTCCAAATCGGGGTCCAAAATTAAACTTTGTTTGATTTCATCAAAAATTGAATTCTTGGGGTTCTTTGATATGCTGAATCTAACCATGTATTTAGATTTTGGATATTGGACCATAATAGGTGAATGTCCAATTTAAAATTTTTAAGTTCTTAGACCACATTCATTCTGTGTCAGAAACCTATGCTGTGTCAAATATTTAATCACAATCCAAATTCAGAGCTGTATCAAGCTTGAATAATGTGTCCATACTTGCCCCAACTGTTCAGGGTTCGACCTCTGCGGTCGTATCAAGCTGCGCCCTGCGGAGCATTTTATTGCTCATTGTTGAAGGTTGTATTTTTACCTATGATAGATCATCATACGATGAGCAAAACACATACTGTAAATTAAGCATCGATTGTGGATTTTAACAATGGAATGTTGAATTTAAAGACTATACACTTATACATTTTTGTCAAGGTCAACTTTATTGTGGTTTTGTGTTTTTTAAAATTTTTGTAAAGTTATTTTTTTACCCAAACCTTTACACATATAATTATGTTCATTAAGGTTGCATTTTCATATTGAAATAATAGGGCCAACAAATTTATGTCTATCTAATGATTAGCTCTTTTTAAGAAATATTTGAGAGGTGGATAGGGAGGTATAATTTACCTCTATTAAAATTTGTTGGGTGTATTCTTGTTTGTTAAAAATCTGCCTTAGAAAGAATTAAACATTTCGTTTGATTTATTTTACAATGTAGGATAGAATTATGCCTTCCTATCTACCCCTAATGCATCCTGACATTTATTTCTGAATACAGTTTTGTAGTATATTTTATGATTTGAATTTAAGACAATTTTCACATTTAACGAAGTATCTGCATATTACAATGCAAATCATGCTGACTTTGTATTTATGTACAATATGTCCATAATTTATTGTATGAAAATAATGTTATTATTCATTGAGATACCATATTTTTGGTATTTTAGCATCAGGTTTTAGATTTGGCTTCGACCTTAGATTGGGCAGTAAAGTTTGTGCTATGTTCATTATTGGCATTTCATGACCTTGTAAAAGGCATTTAAATGAACATTGAAATGTTCATGTAGGATAAATAATCATGGTTCAATGTGTACCTGGAAAATTCACATTAAAATTGTTTGATATACAGTACGCATAACTTCAATATTTAGTAGGTGATACGGACATGTTGCTTTTTTTATCTATGCTTTCTTAACTGATGGAAGAATATAATCATTTATACTTCAACTATGCTATGTTTACAGTCAGATTGTATTTACTGTAAAATCATTTGTGACATAGTCACTGACTGTATAAAGCCTTGTTTGTTATATTGCCAATATGTTTTTATGGAATTTGATTCATGCTTTTGCTTAGGTGTATAGAATTGTTGGATATTCATATCTTCCATCTGAATAATCCTTTCTCTAATTCTTCGTCAATTTATCCCTTTCTGCACCCATTGTATAAAAAAAATTTAATCAACGTGTGGTTCGTTTGATCTCAGTTCTTCATTGGTTAAAATCCGATTATGACGTCGAATTTTCTTGCTTTCCTCTGAATTTCCTATTGTGACAGCATGAAAAAAGGCGACCATGCCTGATGATGTCACATAGAAAGAGCACATCTTTTTGCAGATCATTCGAAAAGAAGGAATAAATTTGCCTGCATATTGTTTGAAAATCATTAGAGAAACAGATTCCACCACCAAATCTCGTGTACAGCGATATTTATCCACTCTCGACAGTTAAATTTTAAATATTTAACTGTCTCGAGTGGATAAATATCGTATCACACTCGATGCAGTGGTAGAATCTATATTTATACAATTGTTTGGAATAGGAATTATATTCTGAATTAGCAAAAAACAGGATAGAAATGCTCTGGGAACCTTGCATTTCTACTTGTTTCTTAGGCTTGTACAAATATATTTTATATTCAAAGACAATAAATGGTTATTCCATATATAGATAAATAAATATGTATAACTTTAAAAATTTCCCAGTAAAGTAGCTAACTTGAAACTTTGTTGTATTTTTTTTCCTAATGTTTATTATTTTTTTTATATCTTGGAAATGTTTGGATTTTTTTTTTATTTGTTCTGACTCATATTTTATGTATTGATGGAGAGGAAGCATCACTTCGTATTATATGTACGATATCAGCATAATGAGTAGATTTACCTCTTTGTGATGTCACATTTTGTGTTTTCTTTTTTAATGACTTGTGTAGTGACATTATAGATTTCAATTAACGTAATCTATGTATAACTGATAAATTTTTAAGTCGGTCAATACTCTTTCATCAGTACTTTGTGTCTTTTGTCTTATTGTGATTTTTTTTTGTGTTTAGTACTGATCTGATGAGTCCAGCATTTTCCAACTGATTTTTACAGTTTGTTCATATGTTATATTGTAATACAACTGTCCCTGGTTAGGAAACAGTTCAGAACTCACCAGCATGTTAAACCTCATCTCATTTTTTTTCTGCCAACCCTAAGCCAGGAACATGTAATCTAGTGGTTGTTGTTAGTTGCTATCTGCAACATTTGTTTTTCATTCCTTGTTGTAGTGTAAATCAGGCTGTTGGTTTTCTTTTTTTATTTATTTTACATTTTGTCATACTGGGGCTTTTTATAGCTAGGATTTGCTCATTGTTGAAGGCTTTACATTGACCTGTAATAGTTCATATTTTTGTTTCTTTGGTCTGTATGGAAAGTTGTCTCATCGACAATCATATTACATCTCCTTATGTTGTAAGAATTAAGTCTATAATTGTGAATTCAAAGTTAAGTAAAAAGTTAGAAAAGAAGATTGAAGGAATCCTTCTTCATTAATACTACTCCTAGAATACGTCAGTTTAACACGTATCTATTTTTGAATGTGTTGCATGGCAAACCTGACAAATCTCTGTGTGATTGTTTTTATTTTTTTGTATCTTTGTCTCGCCTTGACAGAGTAAAAAAGTAAGACATAGGATGCTGTTTCCTGTGTCAGTGGCCGCACCAACAACGTATTTGTTTGTGAATAGGTCAGTTTATGGGGAACCACTAGTGGTAGGTCAATGATATTTTGTATGCAGTTGTATTAGCATTGACACATCTCATTTCCATGGAGATAATTTGGCCCCAATCTTTCAGCCATAGTCTATTGACTTTGAAACTTTTGCTTAGTTTATATGTACTAGTTTGTGGTTAGGTCAGTTTATGGGGAACCATTAGTGGTAGGTCAATATTTGGTATGCAGTTGAATTAGCATTGGCACATCTCATTTCCATGAAGATTGTTTGGCCCTGTAGCTTCATTCATGGTAAATTGACTTTGAATATTTTGCATAACTAACATATTGCTATTTTAATTTGAACATTTGCATTTAACTGTCAGAATAACAAAAAAGCGAGTTATATCTCTGTTTCAACAGTTTATTAATACATAGGTCCTTTATTTTAACTTCTGATGAACTATCAGCAATCAGTACAATACAAAACCGGTTGCTTTTAGTTTTATGAGTTGAGCTAAATTATCACAATGAAAAAATATATTGCAACATTGACTACATCTTTGGTTATTTATTACTGTATGTCAGATGATCTAGCACAACATCTTCAACCTAACAAAATATAACTGTTAAAGCTTCGTCACATTCCATTTCTCCTGACAGTTGTTTTAAATTTAGGCAAAATAAGAAATTAGTGATTTGAAAATTGCTTGGTTGCATGATAGTTTTGTTAATAAAGATAAGTAGAAAATTGATACTAAACAGCAATTTTTGTAAATTTTAAAAGATAATTTCATAAATTTGGTCAAATTTAAATTTTAACTTTATTTAGCATTTATGTCTTGCTTATGTATGCAAATGATGCAGATTATATGTATATAGTAATTGAATGATTTAATTGTCTAGTCTTGTGCTATTTTAATGTTTAAATGTCTGGTTTCAGTACCAGTCTTCAAGAATGTTCTGATTCAAAAACCTCTCAAAACAATACAAAACTTTAGTTAACATAAAACCAGTATATCATACATTTTGTTATCTAACCCATCACTATTTCAGGGTTAAATTATCTCAGTATTTAAATAGACTATCGATCATGTATTTAAGAATTGAATGCTTCTTTTTATGCCCCCGCCATGGCGGAGTGGGCATTAAATGTTACCATTGTCTGTCTGTACGTCCGTCCGTACGCACTTCCAAAAATTAGTTTCCTTTCTCTAACTTAAGTTTGCCTCAACCAAATGTTATGAAACTTATACACACAGATCAAATTTCGAATTTGGGTGGTGTCATATTTACAGTTTTCTAGTTATGTCCCTTTATAATGTTATATGTAAGCAGGAGCATCATATGTGTCCCATGGACACATTCTCTATTTATTATACCCCACGCAACGAGTTGCGGAGGGTATAATGTTTTTGACCCGTCCGTCCGTCTGTCTGTCCGTCCGTCCGTCTGTCTGTCCGTCCGTCAGTCAGTCCTGTTTCTTGTCATCGCAACTCCTCTCAAACCACACAACAGAATTTCACGAAACCTTTTTATACGACTTCAAAAAAATTTTTGGGATCGTATAATGGTATGATGTTGTCGTTGTCTGCGTCGTCATCCGAAGACACATTGGTTTCCGGACAATAACTTTAGTTTCAGTTAATGGATCTCTATGAAATTTTTTAAGAAGGTTCAATACCACAAAAGGAAGGTTGGGATTGATTTTGGGGATGATGGTCCCAACCGTTTAGGAATTAGGGGCCCAGAAAGGGGCCCAAAACAAGCATTTTTCTAGTTTCAGGATAATAACTTGTGTATAAGTATTTCTATTGCTCTGAAATTGTACCACAATGTTTAATACCACAAGTAGAAGGTTTGGATTCATTTTAGGGGTTATGGGGCCAACAGTTTAGGAATTAAGGGCCAAAAAGGGGCCAAAAACAAGCATTTTTCTAGTTTCCAGACAATAACTAGTGTGTAAGTGTATGGATCTTTCTGACATTGTACCACAAGGTTCCATATAACAAAGGGAAGGCTGGGATTGAGTATGGGGTTAATTGCCCCAATTATGTAGGAAATAGGGGCCAAAAACAAGCATTTTTCTAGTTTCCAGACAATAACTTGTGTGTTAGTGTATGGATCTCTCTGAAATTGTACTACAAGGTTCCATACTACAAAGGAAAGGCTGGGATTGAGTTTTGGGGTTATTGCTCTAAGGGTTTCAAAAAGTTGGGGGGGGGGAATTTTTTCCCCAATTTTTTTAAGGGATTCATATTTTTTTTTCAAAATTTTTAAAATTTCAATTGCACAGTATTGGGCAATGGATTTATAAGATCTTTGACCACATTTATTTTGTGTCAGAAACCTATATTATGTCAAAAATTTGATCACAATCCAAATTCAGACAGTATCAAGCTTCAATATTGTGTCCAAAATTGCCCCAACTGTTCAGGGTTCGACCTCTGCGGTCGTATCAGGCTGCGCTCAGCAAACTATTTTATTAGATAATAAGGACACACTATGTTGTTGTGCATATCGACAGGAAATTACGATTCAATTCTTTTTCTAGGAGTTACGCCCCTTTGAACTTATTTACTTTAATGTACTACTGCAACAGTTTGTCATCACAACTCCTCTCAAACCACACAACAGAATTTCATGAAACCTTTTCAGATAATAAGGACATACTATGTAGATGTGCATATCGACAGGAAATTACGATTCAATTTTTTTTCCAGGATTACGCCCCTTTGAACTTATTTGCCCAATATACTACTGCAACCTTTTGTCATCGCAACTCCTCTCAAACCACACAACAGAATTTCATGAAACCTTTTCAGATAATAAGGACATACTAGGTAGATGTGCATATCGACAGGAAATTACGATTCAATTTTTTTCCAGCAGTTACGCCCCTTTGAACTTATTTGCCCAATATACTACTGCAACCTTTTGTCATCACAACTCCTCTCAAACCACACAACAGAATTTCATGAAACCTTTACAGATAATAAGGACATACTACGTAGATGTGCATATTGACAGGAAATTACGATTCAATTTTTTTTCCAGGAGTTACGCCCCTTTGAACTTATTTGCCCAATATACTACTGCAACCTTTTGTCATCGCAACTCCTCTCAAACCACACTACAGAATTTCATGAAACTGTGTAGATAATAAGGACATACTATGTAGATGTGCATATTGACAGGAAATTATGATTCAATTTTTTTTTCTGATACAATTTTTTTTTCTTACACTTATTTTATTTCTCCAATGACAATGTGGGGACGTGGGGTATGTGAGCGCGCTCACTAAGGTTCTTTCATTTTAAATTTTATTAGGGTGTAAAAGTGTGACTCCTGGTAGCACTTATACTAAAATATGCACACAATCAATGCTTTTACACCCCTATTATATTTTAAAAAAGAAGCATTTATGCTAAAATATGTGCACAATCAATATTTTTATGACCCTATATAATTACAAAAAGCATTCTATTCTATTACATCTTATAATTACTTTTTAATGTTAAAACCATAAAATTACAAGCTATATCAAGCTTTTTGATTCTTTTGCATTGCACATGAATGTTGTATTTTATTTGGAAATAAGATATAATTTGGAATACATTGTGGTGTTGTAGGCAAATCAAAATTACAGATTCTTATGAAACATATATGTAATGTAATTACATGATGTTAAAAGGCAGACACACTCAAATTCAAAATCACAACTTATATAATATACATTTCCATAGTATAATAATTCAGGAAAGTTATCTACATTTTATTCAAGAGTTCCAATTTAACCATGATGACATGCATGTTTATACTTTTTGTAATGCATTCTGTGTCAGTATTAATTTTATTTGTTTAGGAAATGTTGTTTGCTACTTATTTACTATTATAATGTCCATTTACCTAAGGATTGTTGTAAACATATTTATCTCATAGTGCAATGTTTTTCCTTTTGCAATATTCTAAAAGTTCTCATAATTTGTGTTTCCCCAAAGTGTAAATATTCACTAACTTACTTGATTTTTCTGGTTCCTATCCCTAAGAAGATGAGTATACATATCTGCCTTTATGGCTTATGATGGATTGCTGTTTGCTGAAGAGGTAAATTATGTAAACATGTTTATTGTGATATATGTAAACAGTAGACCTGTTAGGAAGGTTCTGCAAATTAGGTCAACCTGGATGTAGGGGGAACATTTTGGATTGCCTTTGGAAAAAGAAGGTATGTTGTTGATGCTGATTTTTCTTCTTTCACTGGGTCACCTTCATACTTTCAAATAGCTATTTATGGAGTTTTTAATTTGCAGAAAGTGTGGTACTCTCATCATTATACATTGTACCCATTATTCAGTAACTTTCGAGGCACACCCAATAATTTCTACTGCAAAGAAATGCTATAATTGGACAAATGATTTTAAAGACTTTTATTACCAGATTGATTTTTGTTTATTGTTTTTTCGTGAAAAAGAACTCATATAATCAAAAAACATATCATTGCACTATGATAACTTATGTTTTACCTAAAATTTTATAAACTGTTATATATGATTATACATATAATTCAATAGAACATTGTGCCATGAAAAATAAAAATAAATGGAAGAAATGTAATATTGTTGTTCTATCAGTCAATTATTTTATAAGTGTGATGTGTAAAATTGAACACTTGCATTTTTAAATGAGTTTGTCTGTGTCCTTTAAATAAGTCTTATATAACTATACAACTAAACCTCATATGGCCAGACATTATTTGTGGGCATTAATGTAATTTTAAAGTAGTCCACTGATTAAATGTGTTATCAATTTACACTCAGTTAAAAACTTTTGATCCTTCAAACAAGACAGCACAGGTCAACACAACATTGAAAATAAAATTTATGCTGGCAATATACTATATAGACTAAACAAGTGTCTGTTATACAAAGTTAGAAGCCTGATATCTTTAATAAGTTGATACAACATGTACAATAAGTAAATAGATTTCAGGATCATCAGGTAAGATTTTATAGCTTAATAATTTCTAAAAAAAATTAAAAGAATACAGAAATAATGTAATGAATTGTCACATGCAACTAATTGAAAAAATGCACCCATATGATATGTAGCACTGTACAAATATTTGACTTAGAAAATTATAAAAGAACAGTTAACTTCCCAAACATTACGGTAGGGCTATATGACCATTCAGCTCCTACTCGATATATGAAGACTGAAGATCATTGAAGATGTAATAAAAGCCTGCCTTATAAGTATAGTGTGTTTGATATTGTTTCTCTCTTAGTAGTAAGAAACTCGCATATCTCTTGTATATCCTAGCATATCTATGAACTGGTGATGGCAAGCAAGATGATAAAATTCAATGTGAAAAAGAAAGTTCTATAATTTACATGTAAGAGAGGAGAAAGATACCAAAGGGACATTCAAACTCATGTCAAATATAAATTGACAACGCCATGGCAAAAAAGAGAAAAAGACAAACAACAGTACACAAAACACAACATAGAAAACAAAGTAAAGACTGAGAAACACGAACCCCACCAAAAATTGGTGCTTCAGATTGATCTTATTTTACAAATTTAAAGATAGCATTTAAGTAAATTAAATAGCCCAGAACATTGACATTAGTATAAAACCATACTTTACCATAACTAATTTTACAAAAGCATGTAATAAATGACTAAATATAAAATGCTGATATACAAATGTTTAATGCCAAACAGCCATTAAATACATTATATAAAAAAGAATATACCACAACAGCAGAGAGATGCGTTAATCAGCTATGACATCTCATTTAAATATAAAAATATTAGAGATAAACCAACCTCTTGATGATGAGATTTTTTACTTGTACAGTCGCACTTAATTCATATAAAATTCTGGACTAATGACGCGATTTTATCACATGGAAGTACATAATTTAATTTTGCTGTAAAGAGTACAGTCGTCAAAGGAGGATGGAAAATATTTGATAAGAGCAATTAAATAGTTATCACTGTAATTGCAAAATAGTCATATTTAATTAATTGTTTGTTAATTTCATCTGTCTTATTGACAAAGTACAACGGAAAATATTAAGACTGTCACAGTGTTTTATTTTAATTCTCCCATTAAATGCTGATCAACACATATTTTTGATATACATGCAGGAAATAACGAGTTGGCGATTTTTTTTAATATCAGCTAATAATTTATTCCTAATGAAATATATAAAAAAATACTTCGTTATAAATGATGTGTCATGTGTTTGATTTAGACTCGGATCCAATTGATATCCGTGTTTATTCGAGCGTCACTGAGTATTTTGTAGACGATACGCGCGTCTGGCGTACAAAATGTTAATCCTGGTATCTATGATGAGTTTATTCAATCAATTACCTATACATTGAAAGAGAACTAAAGTCAAGAATGATGTTATATGATTTTTTTTTATAATATATAACTACTTTATTTATAAAGAAATAGGAAAAAATTTCAACGCTTTAAAAATTGTTTGACTTGCATTAAATCTTAAATTGGGTTCACAGACTTCCACGTACGTTAAAAGATAACATAAGTGTTTTAAAAATATTGTAACAAAATTGTTGAGAGTCTATAGTTTTAAATGTTCGATTTAATTTCAATGTTATACATGTATATGTATAAAACAAGGTCAGTCAAATCTAGACAAAATAACTGGTCTGAACAGTGTTTCAAACTAGTCCGAGTTGTCTTTAAATTTGTCCGAGATGTCTTGGTCCGATTTGTCTTTGGTCCGAGTTCTCCTAATTCCCTATTAGAAGTGGACGTAGAGTTTCAACTTTGTCGGCCTATTTTAGATATTGTCTTGTTGCTCAGTTTTGCTGTTAACAGTTTCTCTTTCTCTTTTATAGGTTATAACCACAACAAAACGGTTAAAGTCGTCATCTAAGGTCAATAACTCCTATAAGGAGTCAACTGAAAATTCCAGGTATCTTAATATAATATATTTGCAATTTTTGTCTTGGCGATCTTTTTTCTGTTTACAAGTTTTCTTTATTTACTATAGTTTGGGCTCAAATACAATACCAATACGAAAAACGAATGGGGGTTATACTGATTTATCCCTGTGTCCGTATGTCCGTTTGTCCAATGAAATGTCCGTCGTGTTTTTCCCAGGAACTACAAATCAGAGTTTCCTTAAATTCGTTATGCCAGCTTGTGACGTAATTCTTTCAGATGTCATCGCTCACTTCTTGTTTGCCGAATACTTTTGTTATTTAATTGTCTTTAATTTTTTACAAGGAATCAAATTCTTTTGTGTCCATAGTTATAAATGGAAAAAGGATGATAAATTCATAATTCATTTCATTTTCGAATTCAATGTGCCAAACTTGAAATGTGGTCCTATACTTCTCCTTGTATGGTTTCTTGTATGATTTAGGAAGCAAATAAGACCATGCGCTGTTAAGCAGACTTTTGCAGTTCACTCGTTGTTGAATTGTATAAATGTACGATTTTTATCTCCAGTAGATGTAGTCGGTATAAACGTACTTGAACTTGAAATGTTTGTTATTAGTACCTTGGTTCATTACTTTTTAGTACACAACATGCGATGGCATTATTTTCTGTTTTGTTAGCTGACACAATTGCAAAACCCTGTCGTCCAGTATTTCATTATTTTTTTTCAATTTCGACTTTGTAATGAGAATAGTTTTGTAAAGCTACTTCCGAAATGTTTAATTTGATGACTTCCCGATTCAAATGTTTTTAATTTTAGTTTTTTGTAATGCTTGCAGATCTTGATTTTATTTTTTGGGGTTATCTACTATAAAATACAGATAAAGGGTCACTTGTCCGGATTGACGACTGACATGACACATCGAGTTTTGGGACCTACTATTCGCTACATTTTGGGAATAGGACCCTGTGTCGTCAACTTCTTTTCAATTTGAGAGATAACTTTGTCGCGACGGCCGAAAAGCGTGTACAAAATGTTAATTTTCTTAACAGTTTCAATTGGTTGTAAATGGGTGAATAAGATTATTTTTGATGAATTGATTTTATGTAAATAACATGTAATTTAATGTGTATCAGTCACTCTTTTTTATGTATCCTAGCAACAGTAGATAATTACGTCACAGAAAATTTATCGTGACGTTGCTTTTTCAAATAGATCGTTTGAAGAAACCAGCAGCATACATTTTGGCTAAAGCAAAGTATTGTATATATGTTATAAAAATTAAGGGTGGTTAAATTGTCACATTTTTGTTTTAGAGCTATTCCGTCAATCAGGGCATTCAATTGGGGTTTTGTGACGCAATGTGGGATATTCAAAAGCCGGAGCTTTATTAGGGTTTCAAGAGTGATTGCAGATGATAACTTTTTTTGACAAGCGTAATGGCACATGTAAAACTTGGAGAAAACATTTGGCTTACAAACGGGCAGCTAAACCTGTTCAATGATAGTGCTGAAAATTCTGAACTTGGATGTCTCGCTATTGGACATTTTTACTGTGGTCGGTTTGATATTGTGTAGGACATCCCTGTTTTAGAAATTGTAGCAATATTACTTTCCATTTATTTGTTCAAAACACAGCTGGCTTAAAAACTCATATTTTTTCATTCAAATAACAAAGCATTAGTATCTATTATAAACAAGAAATCGTTCACATCAAATAACAAAGCATTAATATCTATTATAAACAAGAAATCGTTCACATCAAAGCTTATTTTGCAATTGGTCTAGCGTTTTGTCCTGCAAACCATGCTATTTAAGCTGCAGTTTAAAGCATGCCTAATTGAAAGTCGACACAATTGCATAGCAGATGCCATTTCTCGAATTCAGTGGACCAGATTCAGAGATCTACAACCGGGTGCAGACAACCACCCTAAGCAATTACCAGAAGATTTCATTCGTCTTTTCTCGGAAAATGAAATTGGACGACTTATAGACGCATCTATTTCGGAGAATACAACAGAAGCATATGGGTTAACCTCTTTTGGACTATCACACAGAACTGTTTTCATTGCTTTTTTTTTATCATTGGTCGGTAAATCACACAATACTGCACGTACCTATCTGTTGCATCGGCACTTAAAGTTAACCAGCGAGAGACGTTAACCACCGAGGGTCTGTTGCCTGTAAATTTTCGTTGCAAAACTGCACAGCACGTACATTTTTCACCAAATTTCTTTAAACTGATAACTTCAATCTGTTAAATGTATCCAAGTAACAGTTGATATATACGTCACAGAAAATTCAACATCAAGCTGCCTTTTCAACTTGAACGTCTGGAGACAACGGCAGCATACATTTTGGCTCAAGCGAAGTATTGCATATGTGTTATAGGAATTATTTTAATTCCCACCCATCCTCCACAAACAATTGTGCAAACAAATTAATAATAATGCTATTAATAATAGTACTATTATGCAAAATATTGCAAAATATTGGGTACAATACTGCTGCTCTTTTGATTTATTATTAGTTTTGTGTTACCAAACAAACCAAAGAAAATTGTCACGGGTCTACAAACCAAATTTTGCGCAAAGCTGAATGCATTGAAGAATGTATATAACGTAGAAAGTACATTTTGCCTGAACGGCATTTTGATTGGCGCCAGGTTAGCGACACAAGATAGATACTATAAA